ATCTACTGAGGGAGTTTTATTTTGTGTGTTGCATTTAATTGTGAAAACGTGAAAGAAAAAAAAGCAAGAAGTAACAGAATAATATAATAAACATCCATGTAACTTCACACCCAGAATTTACATTTTTGCTCAGATATTTAAAATATAATCAAAGCTAGGTGCTGGTGGTTCACACCTGTAATTCTAGCTACTTAGAAGGCCGGGATCTGAGGATCATGGTTCGAAGCCAGTCCAGAAAGGAAAGTCTGTGAGATTCCAGCAAGAAGCAGAACTGGAGAGTGCCAGCCCTGAGTGAGACAGCACACGGTCTCCGAGTTCAAGCCCAGTACCCATGCCCTCCACCTCATATACACCACACACACACACACATATATATATATATATATATATATATATATATATATATATATGTATACACATATATATAATCAAATAGGCAGAACCAACCTCCATCCCCCCCACAAAATAAAGAAAAGAAACAAAGACAAATATAAGTGACCGGGAGCATGACAGACAGAGATGAGAGCCATTTCCTCACCTGCCCACCTCCTACCTCTTGCCTGAGGACACCACCATACATTTAATATGTAATTTCATAACCTGTTTCCACATTTCCCTGCATATATATGAATCTATGAATAATATATAGTTTTGTTCAATGTGTCTTTTAGAAGCATTCTTAAAATGCTGTCATGTTGTAATGAATACCATTTTGCAACTTGCTTTTCCCACTGTTATGTTTTTTTAGCTTTATCCTTGTTGATATTTACTTCTATCTTAATTTCTTTTTAGAGGTGGAAAACATTCCATTGTGTGACTGTACCAGTCGCCTTAACTGTTCCACTGCTGATAGACAGTGATGGATTCTGAATTTATAAGAATATGGCTGTACATGTGTTCGTGCCTGTCTCCTGACACAGGTTTGCTGGCCAGTTCAGCGGTCCAGACCTATCCTTCTGACCTCTCTTGGGTTTCTCTGAGTTTCATCACCCAACCAGATGGTTTCTTCCTCAGCTGGAAAAGGAAGAGGCAAGAGTAGAAGTAATCTAATGAATGGGACTGGCAATAGATGGGCTGAGACCTGGCTTTATTTTTGTGTATTTGTCATCTGTACCCCCAGATCTACTGCTCTTCACTTCTGCATTTTATGTTAATCCATGTGTATGACAACACTTAGGAACATCTAGGTAGGCAGAGTGGGACACACCTGTCGTCCAGGTATGTGGGAGGCATTGAAGTACCTTCATAACCTGTAGTTGAAGTAGGTTGAAGTAGGAGGATTGCAGTCCAGGCTGGCCTACACAAAAGTGCGAGATCCTATCTGAAAAATAACTGAAGTGAAAACAACTGCGAGAGTGATTTAAGTAATAAGTGCCTGTCCACCAAGTTGAGGTCCTGAGTTCAAGTTCCAGTTTTACCGCCCCCCAAAAATCCAAGTTTATTTGTATTTTGTCTTACCAGCATTCCTGCCTTACCTGCACCACTGCTTCCACTTTCTGAATTCCTTTTGTCTCTGTCCATATGCATACATGCTCACACATGGTTGTAATGTATGCATAGCACTGAACTCTGCACCACTTCCTTAATAATATACTACACCCTGCTGAGTTAAAAGACAAAAAATGTGTACTGAAGCCCATTTGCATATGGCCACAGTCTTTCATGATCGTTTTCATGATGACATAATATTGTCCTGCACTTGCTGTTCCAGGATCTATCGTTCCTCCCAGTTCTCTTTCCAGCTCCCAGCAATCTTTGGGAAATGGTTCCCAGCCTCTTCAGATCATACAGGGTCCACATGCACAGAGATCTGGCTACAGCTCTACCTGGATCTTTCCTCCTCTCCCCTAGACCCTGGACAATTTCAGCTTCTTTGCTGTAACCAACTCACTCCCGTCACATCACTACACAGCCGTTTTCCCTAGGATTAGAGAAACAACCAAACTAAACCAGGTGATGTCTCAGAACATGTTACTGCCACACATACTCACAGATAGGTTCCTGGACCCCAGGAGGAAGGTTTGGAACTGACTGCAGAGGCCTTATTCTCTCTTCTTTGTGCTTTGAGGGAGATGGTAATAGAGAGGACTCTGAGCTATCATTTTAGGGCCAGCTCAGTTTCCCAGAGCCTGGGACTTTGGCTGAGCCCTTTCTGGGGACATAAAACATATGATCTAAGCCCAAAAGTGAAAAAATGACACAGGTAAAAGTACACCAGCCCAGTGCAGGTGTGGTACACATCTGTAATGCCAGCTGCTCAAGAAGCAGAGTCAGGAGGATTTCAGAGGAGAGCCCAAGTAAAGTTATTGAGACTTTATCTCAAAAACAAGCTGGGCATGGTGGTTCACACCTGTGGTTGCAAAAACTTGGAAGACTAAGGTAGGATGATAGCGATCAGAGCCCAGCCTGGGAAAAGTTATCCTGAGATTCTGTCTGAAAAATAAACTAAAACCAGAAGGGCTGGTAGTATGGTTCATATGGTAGAGTGCTTGGCTAGCAAGTGCAAGACCCACATTTGGCAGGCAGCACCCTCCTAGGACTTTCCTTGTCTCTCCCTTAGTATTAGCTAATGTCTTCCAGCCCACCCAGAGTTTTTGTCACTTTCAATAGAACAAAGCCCCAGTCTCTATTTTCTGCCTTCTCATGAGTCACATTGTCAGCTCACAGGGGACTTTTATTTTCCTTGTACCAGTCCTGTCCCTGAACTTCTTCTTCTTCTTCTTTTTTTTTTGTGTGTGTGTCTTCATGGGGCTTGAACTCTGGGCCTGGGCGCTGTCCCTCAGCTCTTCAGCTCAAGGTTAGTGCTCCACCATTTGAGCCACTTCCAGTTTTCTGGTAGTTTACTGCAGATAAGAGTCTCACAGCCTTTCCTGTCTGGGCTGGCTTTGAACCATGATCCTCAGATCTCAGCCTCCTGAGTAGCTAGGATTACAGGTGTGAGCCACTGGCACCTGGCTTCCCTGAACTTTTTTACTCAAGGCTAGAGTTCTACCACTTGAGCCATAGCTCTACTTCTGGCTTTTTGATGGTTAATTGGAGATAAGTCTCACAGACTTCCTGCCTGGGCTGGCTTTGAACCAGGATCCTTAGATGTTATCCTCCTGAGTAGCTAGGATTATGGTTGTGAGTCACTGGTGCCTGGATTACAAGTGACTTTTTAGAAAAAAAACAAAAACCAGATACTGGTGTCTCCCACCTGTAATCCTAGCTACTTGGGAAGCTGGAATCAGAAGACTAGTGATTCAAGGACAACATGGTCAGAAAAGTTCCCAAGACCCCTTTCTTAATTCATGTTACAGTGGTAGGAATCTGTCATCTCAGGAAACCTAAAATAAGTGAATCATGGGCCAGGCATGCTCCTAGGAAGCAAGCAAAACCCTTTCTCAAAAATAAACAGTGCAAAAATGTGCTCCACTTCTGGTTTTCTGGTGGTTTATTGGAGATAAACGTCTCATGGACTTTCCTCTCTGGGCCAGCTTTGTACCATGATCCTCAGATCTCAGTCTCCTAAATTGCTAGGATTACAGGTGTGAGCCATTGGTGCCCAGCATCTGTCAAAGGTTTTTGGAGGTTGGGATGTGGTGATATGGAACACTCATGTGCCCCTAGCTGGCTTTGATGTCTCCTGCTCCGTGGTTTCTTCAGGCCACATACTCTAGTCCAGCCCCTGATCTTAGGAAGGAGACATACCCGATGTGGGCTTAGGCCTCTAGGGGACCAGAATGGCTAGGACTGCAAGTCCTCAGGTGACCTGTTCATTGCCACACACATCTTTAAAGCCTCAGAGGTGTGCAGGCTCTGTGTGGGTGTGTGAGAGAGAGAGAGAGTGAGAGAGAGAGATGTGGTGGGAATGGCAGTCCTCAGGAGCCCATTTCCCTCAACCTGTTCCTGACACGTCCAGCCACTTCTTCTAATAGCTGTGAACATAATGGATTCGTTTATTCCTTTTGAAGACTGGCCCACCACCACATGCCTGCTGGGTTGGCTGCCTCGGCAGGTTACAAAGCTCCAGGGCCATATTTCTGGTACCTCGGTGTCCTCCCCCATGGAGAAGTAAAATGTCAGTGGAGCAAATTACTGACCGAATACTTTGGAATCTATAAATATTAAATTGCCTTGGCTTTCATATAAAATTCAGGCTCTGGTCTGCCCCAAAGGAGAGGTGCCTGGATAGTTCTAAGATGACTTGGGGGAAGTAGGGACCTGCTGCCAGTGGAGAGACAGGTGTCCCCAAAGGGCGGGGCTGAAGCTGACTCTGCTCGATCGAGGGCAGCCCTGGCTGCAAATTCAGATGCACCTGAACCCAGGATGGAGTTTTTCTCAGGTTGCTCATTGGAGTTGCATGGGGTTTGCGCATGCTCTCTCTGAGGACTTGTCCCCGTGTGTGTGTGTGTGTGTGTGTGGTCTCCCCACACATCGCTGGTGGGACAGTGATGGGGACTGCACAGGGCCTGCCTACTGCTCTCTGGCAGCCAGCTGGCCTCCTCCCCTGCCTTCCTGTTGGCTTCGCCCCAGGCTGTCTTACTGTTGGTGGTGGGTCTTGTGCCCCTGTGAGGTCCACCTAGAATCTGTTGCTGATGAGGTAGCAAATACTCCGTGGGAGCATCTGTGTGTGTGTTACATCACTTGGGTGGGGGCAGCAGGAGTGGGGAAGGAATGGAGCCTAGGGCTCTGTGCATGCTAAGCACTCTACCACTGAGCTAACCCCCAGCTACTGTGCTCTCCACGGAGCGGGCAAGGGTGCAGACTACAGTACCTTCACAGTGCACCTGAAGACACTAAGGCCCATGCAGGTGGAGTGACTTGCAGGGTGCCATGCACACCTCAGCCAGTTCCATCACTAGTCCATCCACGGTTCAGCCTGGATCCAGCCCAGGACTTTCAGACTCCAGGCCTGGTTTCCTCATTGATGATGTGTCCCTGCTGGCTGCCTCTTGCCTCTCACCTCCCCTAGGCCAGCAGCCAAGCTCTCTCTCTCTCTCTCTCTGTCTCTTTTGCAGGCATCCCCACGCTCATTGTGCTGGACCCACAGGGGGAGGTGATCACGCGGCAGGGGCGGGTGGAGGTGCTCAATGATGAGGACTGCAGGGAGTTCCCGTGGCACCCCAAGCCTGTGCTAGAGCTCTCCGACTCCAACGCAGTGCAGCTCAATGAGGGCCCCTGCCTCGTCCTTTTTGTAGGTATGGAGCCCAACAGGGTCCCCTGCGGGGGGGGGGCGATGCAGGGGGGATGGGGGGAGGACATCCAGGACAGACCTCACCCGTGTGTCTGTCCCCACAGCCTCCAGCCACTCACAAAGCTAAGCCTGGGCCTTTGTCTCCTTTTCAGCCTTGTTTTTGACCCCAATGATTTATTCATGGATCTCCCCCTGTGGGAGGTGGTCTGGGAGCTGCACTGCCCTGCTTTCCTTCCTTGTTGCTCCTGACTGCCAGCTGGGCCGAATAGGTCAGGGCTGGAGGATGCCCCTAACCCCCATGAACAGAGTCATTGTTGAAAGGAGTGGGCCTGCTCACCTCGCAGCTGCTGGAAGCTGGACCCCCTCTGGCCAATGCTCACCCTGCTGCTTCTGCCCTCCCCTGTGCTCTCCTGAACTGCCTCAGTGGCTGCCAGCACTGGCTTAGGCCACATGCCTGGCTCTTCCCCGCCTCAGTGGCCAAGTTTACCTCTTGGTTGGGTGGGCGTGCTCAGCCTTGAGTCGACAGCCCATGGGCTGTTTTTGCTGGCCAAGAGCCACCTTGCCCTTTGCCCTGGGACTTTTCCCTTCCAGCTGAATGGCTATACTCAGACTGTGAATAAGATACACCATGCCAGCTTCAGAGAGGACTAGGTGCAGCATATCAGCCCATTCTCTGAGGTTTGGTGAGAGCAGGGTTGCCAATAAGCAGGCCCAAAGGAACTTTCCCCACCCCCCCACCCCCGTGCCAATATCATGGCTTGAACTCAGAGTTTTGTGCTTTTGCTTGGCTTTTCTACTCACTACTGGTACTCTACCACTTGAGCCATGCCTTCAGCCTGGTTTTTTTCTGATTAGTTTGGAGATGGAACCTAGTGAACTTGGCTGCCTGGCTGGCTTTGAACTACTATCTTCTGATCTCTCCTGAGTAACTAGGGTTACTAGGATTACAGTGCCCTGAGAATTCTGGAGTATGTCTCCCTGTCTGTGTACACCACAGGCCTCTCGAGCGCTATAACATTTCAGGGTAGAATCTGCTGGAGCCTGCTCTCCCCTCTCCTGCTTTTGTCCCTTGGGCATGACCCTAGATCTTGGCTACAGGTTTCAGTAGTATGAGCCTGGTATTCTGGGTGTGGCTGCTTCTCTGGGTGTGCCCGATCCACGTTCTCTGCAGTTAGCCTTCCCCAGTCCAGATGGTTTGGCTGCCAGCTGTGAACATCTGTGGCTCTCTCATTACCACCATCGTTGCCAACCAAACCAGTCCTCACTCTTCCTTCACTGCCAGTTCTTCTGCCATTCCCACTGGAAACCAGAAATCCCAAGTCATGACTCCTTCTTCTATGATTGACAGAAAAGCTACCAGGGACCTCAGGTTCTGACATGGGGAAAGCCAAGTTTCTAGGGTGCATTTGTGAAGATTTCACTGGTAAAGGCTGTCTACTGGGGGACATTGTACTACTCAGCAGGTGAGCATGCCAGCCATGTACTGCTTGCTTTGCCGCTTGTACATGCGTGTCCACTCAGCTGTGTGCAGGAAGATGCTGTGCCTAAGGAAGTTCACTTCCGTTCTGGTGCAGCTCAGATGGGCATTTCTGCTGCTCAGGCTTATTTGGGTGGGTGGGGTCCCACCTTTTCACAACCTAGTATCTTTTCTCTTTTCCCTTCATAGATTCTGAGGATGATGGAGAGTCTGAGGCAGCCAAACAGCTGATTCAGCCAATAGCTGAGAAAATCATTGCCAACTACAAAGCCAAAGAGGAAGAGGCACCTCTTTTGTTCTTTGTTGCTGGGGAGGTGAGTGTGGAGGAAGGATTTGGTCTGGCAGGTCAGTAATACCGGGCTGCAGAAGGTTTGAAGGGACCTCTGGATCTGTGTTGATTCAGCCACAGACAAATGAGGAAGGAAAGGTGTGTCATTTAACCATGGAAAACCATTTCCTCCCCTGCTCCTTCCTCTTCTCTTCCTTCTCACTCGGCAGCCTCAGAGCAGGAGGAAGCCCTCCCAGAGCGGCTACCTATCCCAGCTGCAGCCACAAACACCCCCAGTCTGCCCTTATAAGCTTACATGGGACTGGTTAGAACCAGACCCTGGATTCTTTGCAGAGTACTAAGCTGGCTAGTCCCTCTGCACCAGCCTGAAAAAAAGGCTTGGACATTACAGGGATCTTGGCGTGGGTCATCACTGGGACCTACATTCATCCAGCCAGCTCAAGGAATGTGAAGTTGGAGATTGCAGCTTTCTCAGTCTCTTATATACAAGGTTTCTCTCTCTCTCTCCCCCTCTCTCCCTTTCTCCCTCTATGTCTCTGTCTCTCTATCTTCTCTCTCCTCTCCTCTCATTTGTCCAATGATATCTCACAGTGTGAAAAAATGCAGGACGTGAAGCGGAGGTCCCTGCACAGGCCCCTGGCTACCCTGCGGCATGATAACCTGTGTTGTGCAGACACCCATGTTCCACAAGATGGCTGTGTTCAGTGGCGCAGGCGCTTTCCTCACTCCCCTATAATACACACTTCTACGCATGCTCACCAGCACTGACAGACACTGAAGCCATCCCTGCCCTTGGCCCTTTGGGCTGTGCCTCTGGTTAGTTGGTAGGACCTGTGCTCCTTTCATGCTGTTTAAAGCTCAGGAGAGGCACTGAAATACAGGCAGGGGCCAGACACCCTGAGCCACCCATTCATCACCTCCTGAATAGCCGCCCTGGGAGGCCCTGCTGGGCCCCTTGGAGACAGCCCCAATGACCCTGCCCAGCCCTGGGGTGGAGGGAAACAAAGAGGGTTCACAGGCCCTGTCTGGGGCTCACCAGACGCTGCACACAAAGTAGTGAGGCTGTTCTGCATTTATTAAACTCTAACCCCTGGAGAATGGCGCTGAAGAAAAGATGGGTGCAGAAAAGAAAGGCTGAGCTCTGGGTAGGGCGGTGCTTTAGAAGCCTGCCTGAAAAGAAGCATTTGCAGGTTTTCTGTATCCCAGGCACTCAGCCAAGTGCTTCACCTACTCCTCTCTTTTGTACCTCACTTCTCATTGTCCTGCTTCACTGGGAGCAAAGTGAGGCTCCCTCCCTGGCAGGGCTGTGAGTGCTGGCCAGTTGCTCACCTCCACAGCATCCCCATGTGCTAGGAGCTGCTGTTAAGTCTGCTGACAAAGGATGGGACCTCGGCTCCAAGAAGTGCCTGGCTAAGGTCATGCAGGAAGTAAGGAGCAGAGGGGGCTGATGGGAGGTCAGTGTGACTCTGGGAGCAGTGTTCCAACACACAGACCCACTCATGAGTAGATGGAAGGGAACAGGAAGGGACAGCCCCCACCTGCAGTGCTTCGTGTACACTTCACCCGGCTTTCTCGGGCCAGTTCCCTGTCTAAGGCACCATGGAAAGGAGCTAGGCTGGAACATGGCATTGACTGAGCCCAGGACTAGGGCCCAGGGCAAAGGAGGACCCTTTCTTTTAGTCTTGATTCCATCCCTGGGCAAACAGAAGTTATCCCATCTGACATCTTAATGGACATTAAAGCCATCTCCCTGTGGTTTGCACAGTGGAAGCCCAGGAGGGGAGGCAGTGGGGTGCTTGGCTTCGTCTAGGCCTCCTGGTAGGAACAACATGTACAGTATTTGTCCAGGTGTCTCTCTTATTTATCATGAAGCTTTTACTAACCCATGTGGAGTGCTTGAATCAAGCAATGAGTGCCAAAGATATTGATGCACCCAGCAATGCTGGAAAATCTGTGCGCTCTGTGTGTGTGTGTGTGTGTGTGTGTGTGTGTGTGTGTGGTGGTGGTGGTGGTGGTGGTGGCGGTAGCGGCAGGCGGGTGGGGCGGGAAGACTGTGGCATGGGGTGACCATCACCAACAGTCTTGGTTTTTGTGAAAGTCATGGTTGGTGCATCTCAGAGCTGTAGATGTTCTGTTCATCTCCATTTATAGCCAGGAATAACCCAACTTTGTTTCTTCAGGATGACTCAAGATTTTTTTTTCACTCAGTTTAAATATTGTGCATTTCAACTTTTCTGTTATCCACCAAGTAAGAGTCTATAGCATGAAAGGTAGCCTCAAATCATTGCTCTCTGACAAAAGCTTTTTTTTCCTTGGGTTTGTGTTTGCTTCTGTATGTCTAAGGCAGTTTCTGATATGAAAACATGCATAAGACAGTGCCAGTTTCCATTGCAGACAAATGCAGTGAACTGGTGTGAACATTCATGCATCCCAGTCTTTCTTGGATCTGGGCTTTGGGAGGCAGTAGGTTGTTTCTGTTTTAAACATTCCAGGTGTCCAAATTAGCATTGCTAATCCACAGTGGAGCTGCAAATAACTGACAGTTGATTGCAAAAATAAGTAGTCAAAGGACTGTGTGTGTGTGTGTGTGTGTGTGTGTGCGCGTGTGTGTGCGCGCGTGTGTGTGTGCTGATCCTGGGGCTTCAGGGCCTGGGCGCTGTCCTTGAGTATTTTTACTCAAGACTCTTCCTCTACTACTTAAACCACAGCCCCATGTCTTGCATTTTTGCGGGTAATTAGAGATAAAGAGTCTCATGCCCAGGCTGGCTTTGAACCAGTCCTGATCTCAGCCTCCTGAGTAGGATTACAGTTTTGGCACCCAGCTTGATACCTCTTTTTTTTATTTTTTGTCGGTTGTTGTCTGAACTCTGGGACTGGGTACTGTCCCTCAGCTCTTTAGCTCAAGGCTAACACTCTACCACTTGAGCCACAGTGCCACTTCCGGCCTTTTCTGCTTCAGTGGTGCTGAGGAATCGAACCCAGAGTTTCATGCATGCAAGGCAAGCACTCTACCACTGAGCCACCTTCCCAGCCCCAATACCACATATTTAAAAGCAGTGTCTGCTAAGGTTACATCCATGCTAATAAAGATGGCTGGCTTGTGGTCGGGGGGCCTTTAAGGACCCTGTCCAGCTTCTTCCACCTCCAGGAAGGGCTGTCTCCTGCTCCCTACACCAAGAGCCTCTCTCCTTCAGGATGCTTAGAACTGTCCTCTTCCATGTTGTCTGCCTGGCTGGGTCTCTCTGTTTAAAACCTTATGTTTTCTCTCCTTTCTGGTGGCTTCTAGGATGACATGACTGACTCCCTGCGAGATTACACCAATCTGCCTGAAGCTGCCCCCTTGCTCACCATTCTGGACATGTCAGCCCGGGCCAAGTACGTGATGGACGTGGAGGAGATCACCCCTGCCATTGTGGAGGCCTTTGTGAATGACTTCCTAGCAGAAAAACTCAAACCAGAGCCCATCTAGTGGGACTCCGGCCTCTGGAGATGTTATTTAAGACAGTCTTCTTCTCCCCTTCCTTTCCTCCACCCTTGGATTTTTTTCCAGCATATCCTGAATCAAACAATCCGTGTCCAACCTCTCTGTGGTGCCTTGTTTCTGCATTTACTCCTCAGCCAGCACCCAAGGGTGTGAGTCCTCACAGCAGCAGCAGCGGCAGCACCCATCATGTTTGGAGACTGCTTGGGGCTCGTGGGGATGGCATGATCGGCCACAACTGGGACTGCCACATTCTCTCCAGGTCACTAGCTCTCCATGAAAGACCATAAGTGAGCTGGGACAGCCAATGGGGCTCTGGCTCTGGCTGTGGGACCAGCATGCACACCCAGAGGCTGAGACAGCCGAAGGGAACTGCTCAGTGACATTTACAGATGCCCATGGAGCAAAGAAAGTGCTATGGCCTCAACAGGCATCATCTGAGAGCATCCTTTTGCAAGGAACATGGCTTGTCATGGTTGGATGGGAAACAGCAGCTTGTCAGTGGGTTCTTGGTCAGGGGAGCTTCCCCCGCCCCCAATCTAAAAGGAAGCATGTAGGGTGTTATGGTGAGAAAAACAAGCAGCTAAACAAATGATTCATATAGTAATTGCTTACTTTTGTTGGGTTCCTATCATGGGAGTAGTTGCTCATTTCTTCTTTTGTTTCCTTCCTTCCTTCCTTTCCCAAGTTTCTGCCTGCTCCTACAAGCAGCTCCCACTATCTTGGGATTTCATTTTTGAATTCTTCCCCTTAGACATCATCCCAGAATTTGGCCCTGAGCTCCTAGAGGAGCACTGTTCGGCCAACACAGACTTGTCTCGACCAGCATTGGGCCAGAGGCCACCAAGTCTCCGTTGATATACCCTTCCCTATTCCATCACCTGTCATTATTCCTTTTCAAAACAGAAAAACGTGACAAGAACTTAACCAGAAGCCTAGCTTTTCCCAAGATACAGAAGTGCTGTATCTTAGACCTGGGGCAGGAATGAGAGGACAGGGGTATGGCAACTACCTGGAGGCCTTGGATCCCCTTAGTTGGTCCCAAGTAGCTCAGTCTCTTGAGCTGAACTGACTACAAAGAGAAACACCAGTCTATCCTTAGGATTCAGGGTGTTGGGCCTTGTCCTAAGGATTCCCAGGGGTGTATAGTCTGTCTCAATTAGATGGTGGGACTTTAAACAATCCCAGTTCCTTGCCCTCAGCTCTACTCAGCACTCTGCCAACCCATTTATTTGGAAAATATAGCTTCCTCCAATAAGCTGTTGACACTGTTGTCCCATGCTGAATTGGATTGTTGATTTGTAGCTCAGAGGTGAAAAATTAGTTGGTAATTAGAGTATTTGATGTTGTCAGCCTGAAATGCAATCACCTAGAAAGAAATAAAGCAGGCATCTCTGGATGTTATCATCCACTTGGCTTTTCCTGTCCTTAATAACAGCAATCTTTTTCACCTGATTCTTGCTCATAGGGTGGACAGTGGTGGGGCATGGAAAACCTGAGAGCGATGTTTCAGCCATCCCAAGAACTGGGGCTGGGGATAAAGCAGCTAGATTAGTAGTAGAGCACTTGTCTAGGCATGTGTGCACAAGGCCCTGGCTTCCAAATCATCTTGATTTCCTGATGCCAAGAAGCTTGTTTGAATTGGGTCAGGCACTTCCTTCATGGAGGTCAGGCGATCATGGCTCCTAGCTTCACTTGGCACTTGATGGAGGGTGAATTCTAGGTTTGTGGGCATTTTGTGTAGTTTCCTCTTCTTTTAGGGGAGCTCGGCACTTGGGACCCGGAGAAGCTGTTAGGGGAACACAAAAAAAATCACACATGGATCTCCCTGTGAAAAATGGGGCAAGAGCTAGGGATGCTTAAACCCGACCATATTCTAACAGGGGCTTCTCTGCCCATGTCTCTAGCGAGTAGGGTGAGTAAAGGCATAAGACTGAAGTTCCCCACTCCATCTTGGAAGATGTGCAAATTCCTATTTTAATTGTCTTGAAAGAAATGAAGTCCGTTTTAGTTCCTTATCTTTGGAGACAGGGCAGAAGGAACGAAGTCCAATGAGGAGTTGATTGCTTAGGTCACTGTAATGGGGAAATTAGCTCCATTGGGAGACTTTGGTGGTCTGTCCTGGGCTGACTTTTTCCCTGACCCCAGAACCCCCCTTTGTAAGTAGATATCTGGGTTGCATCAGCTGGTCAGATTTACTGAAAAGGATTAGCTCTGTGCAGGTTGGTGCTGTGTTGAGAGGAAATGCTAGGGAAGAGTAGCCTCAATCATGCAACCTTCCATCACCATGTGTGCTGGGAATCAGTGGCTGTCACTTATCCCAACACAGGGAGCCAGCACTGCCTTTTTTGGCACCAACCAAGTTTCAAGTGGTAATTTACAGTCAAGACTTTGTTTTTTTCTGTTGCCTAATTAAAGACACTAAAAAGCTGTTCTCCATCTTGCTGCCATGCTCTGGGCAGCAAACTGAATCCAGCAATAAGACAGCAGAGGGGCTGGGAAGATAGCTCAGTGGTAGAGTGCTTACCTCACAAGCATGAGGCTCTGGGTTCAATTCCTCAGCACCATATAAACAGAAAAGGCCAGAAGTGGTGGTGTAGCTTAAGTGGTAGAGCACTAGCCTTGAGCTGAAGAGCTGAGGCAGCACCCAGGCCCACAGTTCAAGCCCTATGACTGACATATGCACACGCACACACATACACACAAAGACAGACAGCAGAAGATGGCCTGGAACAGGCCACTGGGGCCCAATATGGCATTGAGTTGGTGAGTGTAAAGCAAAAATCCATGGGTATGTACACATGTGTAGAAATACACAGGTAGAATTGTCCCACTGGGGCAGCTTGGGTGAGCATCTGGTCCCATCACACGGGGTAGACACAATGCCATATTTTTGACCAAAACTTGCAAGGCCTATATTTGCCCAATGGTGATGGAGTGCCACTGTGGTACAGATATTGAGGTGGCAAAGTCCAGGGGCTGCAGAGGGTGCCTCCTGAGGCCTTAGGAGCCCAAGACTAACCTGAGGACCCTTAGCCATTATTTTTCAAGTTGGTCCCTAAGTTATATTGAAGTACTTTTCCTACAGCCTGCATTGCCAGTGCCAACAGGGACAAGAAACAGCATGCCTTTTTTTTCTCCAAGTAGGCTGCTTAAGTGAAAACCCTTAACCTGTTGACTGTGAGTTTCATTATTCATGTCTATAGCCTGTGAGTACATGGGTGGTTGAAAGATTTTTCAGGAAAAAAAAGGTTGGGCCAGGATATCTCTAATAGGAGAGATAGGGCCTACGGATGATCATGTAAAAGAATGAAGGTAAGTATGCTTCATTTTTCAAGGCACTAATGTGGCCTACTCCCTCAGTGTCTTGGAATACTTCCCATGCTAGGAAATGGGTTAACAGATGTGGGTGGAACTCATTCTGAGGGAGAGTTCGGTTCCCATTAAATACAGTGCTAACTTGTAAAAGCCACCGTCAACCCTTAGACCAATGTGCAGCCCAAAACAGCGATGGCCTTGAGTGAGGATTCCTGGGTGCTCACACCTCACACAAGATACTCAGGTAGACTAGAACTAGGATCCAGAAGGAGATAGGAGTTTAGGACCCAGTGCCAAAAATTCAGTGTCCTCTAGATATCAGAGGAAGTGGATGTCCCGCCTGCTGTCAATGTATTGCCTCCCTTCCCATCTTGGTGGAGCCAGGCAGCCTGCTGCCAGGTCTGATTGTAACCTGTTTCCTCCTGTTGTTTTTGTGTGTGTGTGTGTTTGTGCCAGTTCTGGGCCTTGAACTCGTGGCCCTACTGTCCCTCAGTTTCTTTTGTTCACTATAGCAGCTCCACTTCTGTTTTTTGTTTTTAGTTAATTTGAGGTAAGAATCTCACAGACTTTCTTGTCCAGGCTGGCTTTGAACCATGATCCTCATATCTCAGTCTCCCGAGTAGCTGACAGGTCTGAGCCACCGGCACCCTTACCCCTAATCCTTGTAATTTGAGGAAGCATTGGCAATGGACCATCCCGATGAGAAGGCTGCTCTTCCCTTAGACAATGGGAATCCCACGTTTGAGAGGAGGAAGACCAGATTTCATACTTGCTGTTGAGCATCAACAGGTCCTGAGGCTTCCGGTGAGGACTCGGTTCACAGCAGGGATCTCAACTGCTGATGTGACACAGCACCTTAGTCCAGACACTGGTCATCCACTGCTTTGTTTGTAGTTTAGCACACTGTACATTCACCAAGAAAAAAGGAAGATCTCGCAATTTTAAAGTGTTGAGTGCTTTCTTGAAAAGACATGAGTGTAAGTGGAGTCCATTCTACTGAGCAGCTGGGGGGCAGCTGGGCTGACAGAGGCCCCAGGCCATGTGGTGCAGCTGGTCTTCAGCACTAGCCAGGGACCCTTGGGTAGTGCTGTTTCTGGAGCCTTTGTGGGGGAAGACAAAAGAGCTCAATGCTGCCTAACTTGGATGACAGTGACATCTGGAGCTTCTGTGATCCTTGGGGCAAGTGGTGGAAGGTCTCAGAGATGTCTCCCCATGGGCCTTAATGAATGGGATTCTCCCCAGGATCTAGCAGCAGGTGTTGCCTACATTGGGACATTGGGGCCTTACCCAGGGCTGCAGTACAGACATATTCTCACAGGGAAGAGCCATGCCTGTTCTACTCCTTCCCATTTCTGTCCCTTTTCTCTCCTTTGTGGTTTAATTTTACTTCAGCCTCTTATTTCTGCCAAGATTATATGAGACAATCCAACCTTGAAAATGCTCTTTGGTGGAGACAGTCAACTCCCTCCTTTTCCTCTTTGAAACAACTTAAAACCCAGGGAAGTCGGACTTTTTCTTCAACTTTGGGACTGGATTCTGAGGCTCAGCCTGCCACCTTGTGGCCATCGTGCTTGCTACAAGCCATGCAAAGGTGAGAAACTAAACCAGCATTCCTGATTCTCTTGCAGCCACAGAGTATTTTTCTGGTCATATACTATTCCATTTGTATTTACTGGGGAAATGATACCAGATCAAACACTTGCCTCAAATGAGAATTCGTGATAGGGATTTTCTAATCTCAGCAAATTAACAATTAGCTACCACTTGTCCTTAATAATCAGTCAAAGGGAAGGATAATTTGCCTCTGGTGCTTCTACTTGCCCTGGGCTAAATTATACTCATGCTTTGTATGAGCTGCCTTTTCCCCTTTACCCTGTTGGTAAAATGGGCTCGAGGAACTTTTCAGTGCTTCAGATGGCTGTTTTTCTCAAGGATAAAGTATGGGTTGTTTTTTTTTCGCTGATTTTTAAACAAATCAGTGGCAACATATTCCACAGACACAAACCACAGGAAACTGGTTTCATGCAGAATGTGACCTTTTTTTTTTTTTTTGTCGTGGGGCCTGAATTCTGGGCTTGGGTGCTGTCCCTCAGCTCTTCAGCTCAAGGCTAGCACTCTATCACTTGAGTCACAGCGCCACTTCCAGCTTTTTCTGTTTTTGTGGTGCTGAGGAATTGAAGCCGGGGCCTCATGCATGCAAGGCAAGCACTCTACCACTGAGCCACCTTCCCAGTCCAGTGACTTTCCTTTTACTGACTTGTTTCCTTAGCACTTCTCTAAGCTGTTGAGGGGGAAACTTAACTGTTGGCAAACTCAGCTGTGTGATTCTCTGGGCTGCCTTCCAGACCCAGCCTGACTGAGTCACTGCAGTCCTCTTCAGCTCATTGCCTGCAGATTGTGCCCCAGCCTTGGTAAGCAACAGTAACTTAAAAGGCGTTGGGTTTGTCTACTTTCTAAAAAGCTGGCCAGGCAGAAGTCTCAAGAATCTGTGGGCCGCCTGCATTGTATACCTGTGCAGAGCCCTACGCAAACACTCCCAAAGTGCCTGCACTAGGAAAACAGTATGGCTGTCAATATAGATCTCTTAAGATGAAGTTTTCCTAGGAAGCCAATGGAAACCGAAAGGGAAGGTAGGTGGTCCGTGGCTCTTGAGCATGCTCGCAACTCAGTCCCCCCAGAATGCACAGCTGCTGGGCTCACACAAAATTCAAACCACTGAAGCCACTGTACAACCACACTCCTTGGCCTTGACTTCAGCCCTGTTCCCTGGGATTGGAAAAGCAGTGCTTGGAATCCTCTCCATTTGCCTTCCTGGCACCTGGTAGATAAAGATCGGCTTGCCCTGGTCCCCTAGGGGGACCAATGGCTCTGCAGCCACCCTAACTTCAGAGAAGCCCTCTTGACACAGCACCCCATCCCTGGGGACGGGAAGTGCAAATGTAAATAAATACCTTATTTATTCATTTTGGTGGTACTGGAATGAACTCAAGTCTTTGAATTTATAAGCACTCTACTACTTGAGCCACATTCCCAGCTGTTTTCTGCCATGGTTATTTTACAGGTAGGATATCATTTTATGCCAGAGCTACAATCCTATTACTATGCTTCCCCATGTTGCTGGGTGACCAGTATGCATGCCATGTACCCAAGTCAATACCTCATTAACTTAACCAGGTGTTTAAAAACTAAGGCTACCAGCAGGAAGCAGACAAAAAGGGTAACACATTCCTAGAGATTGCAGGATAAAGTTCAGTTTCCTCCTTTTCTGCATAGTCCTCAAAGAAGTTACTTTCAGGGGCTGGGAAGGTGGCTCTGTGGTAGAGTGCTTGCCTTGCATGCATGAGGCCCTGGGTTCAATTCCTCAACACCACATAAGCAAAAAAGAAAAAAAAAAGCCGGAAGTGGCACTGTGGCTCAAGTGGTAGAGCACTAGCCTTGAGCTGAAGAGCTGAGGGACAGCGCCCAGGCCCAGAGTTCAGGCCCCACGACCGGACCCAAAAAAAAAAAAGTTACTTTCAGCTTGGTGAATTAACTGTTTCTACTATTCCCCAGCAAGGGAAGGGGGAAATACATACATACAGGCAGAGAGATAGAGAGATACAAACAGTCCTGCTGAAATGAAGGCCTGACACAACCAAGCCCAAAGAAAAGCTAGCTATCGAATGCACAACTACCCTCAGCTGCCTGGGTTATTAGTGTATTACAATGTCATACTAAGCTCAAGATGAAAAGAGAGATCTATAGATCACACTTAAATGAAACATTTTTAATACAATCTGATTTTTAATACAATCTACTGGTTCCATACTTCCCAGGAGTTTATTTCTCATTGGTCAATGATCAGACATGGTAACTCAGCTAACCTATAACCAGTACTTCTTCATCCAAAACACACACCAACCAGCTGGTCCAAGATGGACCATTACTCTATAAGGGTAATACCTTAAGGAACTTTCTGGGCAAATGTTCCTCATCCTCAGGTGAGATTCACACAGCTGTAATTGAGCCATGTCCCCAGCCTTAATAAGACAATTTTTTGAGGGGGGATACTGGGGTTTGAACAGAGACTTACACTTGCTAGGCAGGTGCTCTACCAGTTGAAACACACACCCCAACTAATCCAAATAGTCAAAATTAAACTGGCACATACAGAGCTATGTAAATCACCTCTAGTGTGCATGCGTGCACGCACACACACACAGCCTAACCCCCAAATTGGAGGATCTTAAGAATTCTGCCAGGGGCTGGGAAGGTGGCTCAGTGGTAGAGCGCCTGCCTTGCATGCATGAGGCCCTGGGTTCGATTCCTCAGCACCCTATAAGCAAAAAGAAAAAAGCCAGAAGTGGCACTGTGGCTCAAGTGGTAGAGCGCTAGCCTTGAGCTGAAGAGCTGAGGGACAGCACCCAGGCCCACAGTTCAGGTCCCACGACCGGAACCCCCCCCCCAAAAAAAAAAATTCTGCCAGTCACTGATAGCTCACGACACCTATAATCCTAGCTATTCAAAAGGCTGAGATCTAAGATTGAGGTTTCAAAGCCAGTTTGGGTCTATCAGACTCTTCCATTGTCAATAAGAGAAGTAGAGGTATGGTACAAATGGTAGAGCACAAACCTTGGTCAAGGAAGCCAAGCCAAATCACAAGTCAAAAGCCCCGAGTTCAAGCCCCAGTACCAGCACAAAAAAATAAAAATTTTTTTAAAAAATGTGATCTTATGAGGAAAGGCAGAAACTACTAGAAATTCTTATTTTTCCCATTCATTGTATAATGGCAGCAATGCCTCCATCCCACCACCCCCTATGTGGCCCAGGAAGCCAGTTTCCAACTCTGCTGGCCTCCTCAGGCATATGGGGAAGCAGGAGATGGAGGCATCCTTTATCTGAGAACTTCTAAGCCCCTCAGTGGAAACTCCTATTCCTACTCATGAGTTCTTGCCCTTATCCGCAGCTGCCTTTTCGCCTCAAAAAGCAGGATGCTCGCAGCCATGGCTGAGTTCAAGCTATCCACTCCAGGTGTGACAGGAATCAGCAGCCTCTTGCCCCCCGTGCTTTCAGCCAACTGGAGAGACTCCAGACTCACACCGTGGGTCTCCCCACCTATCACCACAGCTGCTGGAGCTTCTGTCCAGTCCATGTCATAATTCTGGACCTCCAGTTCAGGGAGCCAGTCTTTATCACTTCCAGTGTCTACATCCTTCTCTTCATACTTGTGAAATTTCAGGAATCGCCGATCAGCCCCTTTGTTGTGGTCACTAGCTTTATTAGATATTTGCGCCTGGGCATAGAGCCCACAGTTGTCTGCCACATAGACTCGAGTGTCTGGGGGCAAGTAATTGGGCACTGTTTCCCATTCTAGATTGTTGATAATGGGTACCTGGAAATGGGCCCCCATGCCTGCCCGCAGCACTTTTGGCTCCCAGGCATCCACACAGCCTAAAAAATAAGAGAGAACACATTTAACAAACCTAAAGGACTGTGGAGTAAATGAGTTAAATTCTGGATCAAGAGATATAGCACAAGCGTTTCTATTAGAGCCTTCTTAAGCTAGTACTTAGCAGGGACTGTAGGATTCCTCAAAAGCACTGATAGTAGACTTTGCTCATCCAGATGACACTATCCACACACACATCATACAATAAGAAACAACAACAAAAAAAAGCCTCCCCCACCTCCTAGGGCATAGTGGGTGATGGGACAATAGTTCATCAGGTGACTATAGTATTAGTAATAACAGGTGTAAAAGAAGCATGAACAGGCTAACAAACACTATATAAAGTGGGGCTTTTAGGAAAAACACTGAACATCTAAAAGACTACAGGACACTAAGCCATTTTGTTTTTATTTTTTTAAGGGGGATTACTAGAGATTGAACTCAGAGCCTCACATTTGCTAGGCAGGCACTATACACTTAAACCACACCTGCAGCAACTTTTTGCATTGGTGTTTTCCAGGCGGGGTCTAGCTTTATGCCCAGGTCGGGTTGGGCTGCGATCCTTCACTTTTGCTTCCCTGTATCAGAGTATGACAGGCACAAACCACTGTGCCTAGCCTTGTGCTTTTCCTATAGCTTGGTAACTGACATGTGCCACTTTGCCCAGCTTTTAGTTAAAAATTAGTCTTTTCTGTATGGTCTAGCATACTGTGATCCTCCTATCTCCACCTCCTAAGTAGCTAGTATTACAGGCTTGAGTCACTTGAGTCTGGCCACTAAGTATAAGAGAATAAGAGGATCTTTTCTTGTTGTTTTTGGTCATGGGGCTCAAACCCAGGGCCTGGGCGCTATCCCTGCACTCTTTTGCTTAAGGCTAACACTCTACCACTTTGAACCATAGCACCCCTTCTGGTTTTCTAGTGGTTAATTGGAGATAGGAGTTTCACGGACTTTTCTTGCCTGGGTTGGCTTTGAACCATGATCCTCAGATCTTAGCCTCCTGAATAGCTAGGATTACAGGTGTGATCCACCAGTGCCTGGCTAAGAGGATCTTGTTGGAGAAGGATAAAGGCAGAAGACAACTCAGAAAGAGGAGAGCAAGCAGGTAAATAGGCCAGCTGGAAAAGGAGACAAGCCTTCTTTAAAGAAGGCTGAATATGCTAAACTGAGAAATCTGGGATTTATTTTTCAGAAGACAATATAACATTTAAGGACATTTAAGCAAAACAGACAATCTGATTTATTATTAAGACCCCCTTCTGGCTTTAATGTTCAGTCTAGATTGGAGCACATCAGTAGCAAGCAAATGCAGCAACTCACAGAGAAGTTGGAGCCTTAACCCAGCAGTAGCCCTGTCTCTCCTGCATCTTTTCTCTCATGTAGCAGTAAGAGTTAGGAGAATAGTCTCATGCATAGTCAAATCTAACACTAGCTGCATAGCAGACACCTGACCTTTTCCAGTGTCTACTCTCACTGTGGGAAAGCTGAGAGAGATGACTAACCAGGGAACTGCACCAGGACTACCTCAGTACCTGCCATCCTCCTCTAACTCCCAGACTTAGAAAGGAGAATAAAACATGGAGAAGAGCCAGACACTGTTGGTTCACACCTATAATATTAGCTACTCAGGAGGCTGAGGTGTGAGGATTGTGGTTCAAATCCAGCCTGGGCACAAAAGTCCATGAGACTCTTATCTATAATAAACTACTCAGAAAAAGCTGGAAGTGGTGTTGTAGCTCAAAGTGGTAGAGCGCTAACCTTGAGCAAAAAGAAACTAAGGGATAGCACCAGGCCCTAAGTTCAAGTCCCAGGACCAGCCAAAAAAAAGATGCCGGGCTGGGAAGGTGGCTCAGTGGTAGAGCACTTGCTTTGCCATGCATGAGGCCCTGGGTTCGATTCCTCAGCACACATAAGCAAAAAAGAAAAAAGCCGGAAGTGGCACTGTGGCTCAAGAGTGGTAGAGTGCTAGCTTTGAGCTGAAGAGCTGAGGGACAGCGCCCAGGCCCAGAGTTCAGGCCCCATGACCGGACCACCCCCCAAAAAAAAACAAAAACAAAAAAGGATGGCTTAGCTGTCTAGTCTGGTCCTTAACTTAGTAGAGAGTAAAGTTAAGACTTCCTTCCTCTTCCTGCTCCCCCTCCCCCCTTTTTTTTTGTTGGCATGGGGCTTGAACTCTGGGCCTTCAGCTCTTCAGCTTAAGACTAGTGCTCTACCATTAAAGCTACTGCACCACTTCCGGTTTTCTGAGTGATTCCTTGGAGATAAGAGCCTCATGGACTTTCCTGCTCAGGCCAGCTTTCAGCAACGATCCTCAGATCTCAGCCTCCAGAGTAGCTAGGATTAGAGGCATGAGCCACTGGCTCTTGGCTCTTCCTCTTCCTGTCAGGGCTATACAAGTATTTTGTATACTCTTTCCTCTTTCACTCCAGCCCTAGTATCAATGAGAAAAACATAGGGTTTGCATTACCTTCCTACTATCCGTGGAGTGGGTGGGGTACTGATAATGGAGTCCAGAACCAAGATCTCACCCTGGCACAGAACTGTACTCCACGAAGGCATTTCCAGGAAGAGTTGAAAGGAGCAATTTAGGCAAGTCTCGGCAATAGCTGTCACTATTAGTTTACATTTAATGGTGTTTCTAATGGATGATATGCTCCTCTACTCCCAGGGTGCGACAGGCATTTTAGGCATGTCCCAACTGCTTGGCAAGTCTGAGTAACCAAGTCTATTAATCCCTGCTTCAGGCAAGGAGAGAAATGTAAAGAGGCTAATTTGTGCATGACTTGAGTGACTACATTTCCCTGAGGGTAAGGGAAATGTATCACAACAGCATAATCACTTTGATACCAGCATTCCTCTCCCTCAAGGATTGGGAAGGTCCCATATACTCAACAACTTGAGAACTCAAGGTCATTAAATACAAGACATAAAACCAAGTGTTAAAACTGGCATCCATACGATAAAAAAAAAAAAGTCTCAGGCATTGGTGACTCATGGTTGTAATCCTAATTACTCAACAGGCTGAGACCTGAAGGATCTTGGATTTGAACCCATCCTTGCAGAAGAGTCAGTGAGAGTCTATCTCCAACTAACCAGCAAAAAGCTGAAAGTAGAAGTGTGGTTTAAGTGGCAGACTGCCTGCCAGTTGTAAGCAAACAAGCCAAGTGAGCCTGAGGCCAGAGTTCCTGTTCCAGTACCAGAAGAAAAACAAAAAACAGACATCAATTTCTTTACTCTGATTTTAAAATTCTTTTGTTTTCTTTGTGACACCACTTCAGGCACAGCTCCACTTCTGGCTTTTTGGTGGCCAATTGGAGGTAAACTAACAAACTTTCCTGCCCAGCTGGCTTCAAACTACGAGCTTCAGATCTTAGCTTCCTGAGCTATGATGATAGGCTTGAGCCATTGGTACCTGGCTAGATTTTAAATCCTTTTCTTAATAATTTAGAAGGTTTCAAAGTAATTTTTAAAAAACCAACCAATATTGGCTCAAGTAATCACTGTGCCAGGCAAGTAGTTCTCAAAATGAACATATGGAGAAGATTCTATTATTCCTATCATACAGATGAAGGAACTGACGTTTGTCAACATTGTGTATGGACATAAAACTACTAAGGGGCTGGGTGCCAGTAGCTGACACCTATAATCCTAGCTACTCAGGAGGCTGAGATCTGAGAACTGTGGTTTGAAGCCAGCCAGACAGAAAAGTTCCCATGGGACTCTTATCTCCAATTAACCACTCAAAACTGGAAGTGGTAGAGCGCTAGCCTTGGACACAAAAAGGCTCAGGAACAGTGCCCAGAACCTTAGTTCAAGGCCCACAACTGACAAGAGCAGTAACAAAAACTAAAAAAACAAAAAACAGGAATATCTTCAAAACATGTCTGTTCACAGCCCTCGCTTACACAAAAGTGGTGGGCCAATCCGCCTGGTCAGGGTATTCTTACTTTTTTTGTTTGGGTTTTGGGTTTTTTTTGCCAGTCCTGGGGCTTAAACTCAGGGCCTAAGCACTGTCCCTGTATTTGCTCAAAGCTAGCACTCTACCACTTGAGCCATAGTGCCTCTTCTGGATTTTTCTGTTTAAGTGGTACTGAGGAATTGAACCCAGAGTTTCATGCATGTGAGGTAAGCACTCTACCACTAAGCCACACTCACAGCCCTGTTCTTACCTTTTGTAAGCAATACTTTGCTGCAGCCTGCCCCTGCTGCAGATCTCAGAATTGTCCCCAGGTTCCCAGGGTCACGGAGATTGTCACAAATCAACAATAATGGCACTGAGTTGTGAACCTGTGTCTCTGGATATGTCATCTTAACATGGTCAGGTTTGGCAAAAATCCCTGAGGAAACAACACAGGAAATTAATTTGTCTGATGTGGGCACTGGGAATAAATTGATTTTTCATTTATTTATAATTATTTATGCATTTGCACATGAAACATACAAATATATTCTGACAAAAAATTCAACCAACATAAAATTCTACCAGTACCAATTCTCACCCAGTCTTGTCTCTTCTCCATCTTTAAGTATATCCTACCCTATACGGGGTGTGTGCCTACCCTATACGGGCATACCTAGCCATACATAGGCGCTTTTTCAACATAAAAATACACATTTGCCCAGCATAGTGGCTCATGTCTACAATTGAAACACACAGAAAGCTGAGGCAAGAGGATCATGAGCTCAAGGCCAGCCTGGGCTACATAATGAGATCCTGTCTCAAAAACTCAAAAAAGAAACAAAAAACAAGGACTGAGCCAAGTGCTGGTAGCTCATGCCTGTAATCCTAGTTCCTTAGGTGGCTGAGATCTGAGGATCAAGGTTCAAAGCCAGACTGGGCAGGAAAGTCTAAAAGACTCATATCTCCAACAAACTCCCCACAAAAAGTTGGAAGTGGGGCTGGGAAGGTGGCTCAGTGGTAGAGCGCTTGCCTTGCATGCATGAGGCCCTGGGTTCAATTTCTCAGCACCACATAAGCAAAAGGAAAAAAGTCAGAAGTGGCACTGTGGCTCAAGTGGTAGAGTGCTAACCTTGAGCTGAAGAGCTAAGGGACAGTGCCCAGGTCCAAAGTTCAGGCCCCATGACCAGACCCAAAAAAAAAAGTTGGAAGTGGAGCTGTGGATTAAGTGGTAGAATGCTAGTCTTGAGCAAAAAAGCTCAGTGCCCAAGCACTGAGTCCAAGATCCAGGACCAATACAAAAACAACCAACCACAAGGACTAGGGGCATAACACAATGGCAGACTGCTTGTCTAACATGCACAAGGCCCTTAATTCCATACCTAACCAAAAACAAATCCTAAATATTATTCTATAATGTACTCAATATGTATGAAGAACTTACCATGCTAGTATGCTTGTAGCTATCTTAATCTAACTGCTGCAGTTTGAATATGAAGGTACTACAGTTCATTTCTCTTTCCCTACTAACAATTATATTATTTACAAACCATAATAATTAATATCCCTGTGTGACTCTGTCTCTATGTCTGAAAAATCCCTCTAGGATAAACACCATAAGCAAATGGGTAACTAGTGTAAGTATACTCTTTTTTGAGTACAAAAGAGAATGTGTTACTTTATTCAAGCTGAAACACATGAATGAATACCTGCCTCCCAGGTCAACAGAGGGCAAATTTGTTTCAATTTGTCAAATGGCATTTAAAAAACAAACAGAAGACAAACATAGCATTTTTCCTCATTTCCAGGAAGGTTGAACATTTTCCCAATACAACTGATCATTTGTGACCCTTTTCTGTTAGTTTCTTCACACTCTTTCCTTAAACGTTTCTTGTTCCATTTTCCCAATAGGTGATGTTTGTTTTTTAATTGAACTTAATATTTAAACACCAGTTATCAATCCTTTATATTCCTTTAATTTTTTCTCTTATTCATTGCATATTTCCTGGAAAAAAGAATCTCAATTTAAAAACTCAAATGCAGCCGGGTGCTGGTGGCTCACATCTGTAATCCTAGCTACTTAAGAGGCTGAGTCTCCAATTAACTAAAACAGGAAGTGGCACTGTGGCTCAAAGTGGAAGGGCACTAGACTTGAGTAAAAAAGCTCAGAGACAGCACCCAGGCCCTGAGTTCAAGCCCCACAATGGACAAAAAACAAAATAAGAACTCAAATGCATCAAAGTAGCCAAGAACTGGTGGCTCATGCCTGTAATCCTAGCTACTCAGTAGGCTAAGGTCTAAGGATTGCAGTTCAAAGCCAGCCCAGACAGGAAAGTCTGTGAGACTTTTACCTTTAATTAACCACCAAAAAACTGGAAGTGGCACTGTGGCTCAAGTGGTAGAGCACTCACCTTCAGCTGAAGAGCTCAGGAACAGTGCCCAGGCCAAGTTCAAGTCCCACAACCGACCCCTTCCCCCCCAAAAAAAAGCATCAAGGTAATGACTCCTTTTTAAAATATCCCAGCTGGGAAGCAACATCTAGGACAGTTTAGAAAGGGGCTGTGAGTGGAGGGAGGAACTGAGTCATGAGAATCTCATGCTGAATGTCTGGAAGCTGGGGAAACTCAAGGGGCTTAGGATAGCTGGAAAAACAAAAAATGAAAGTGGCTTTCTTAATGAAAGTTCTCTGCTTAATAATCACTACACTAGGGATGGGAAGGTGGCTCAGTGGTAGAGTGCTTGCCTTGCATGCATGAGGCCCTGGGTTCGATTCCTCAGCACCACATAAGCAAAAAGAAAAAAGCCAGAAGTGGCGCTGTGGCTCAAGTGGTAGAGCGCTAGCCTTGAGCTAAAGAGCTGAGGGACAGTGCCCAGGCCCAGAGTTCAGGCCCCATGACCGGACCCCCCCCCAACCAAAAAAAATCACTACACTATACCCTCTAGCTTACAAAGGGAAAGGATTTAGCAGAAAAGGAAAAAATTGAGAAAAGGCTAATTATAAAATAAAAATGGCCTGAGTATATGAAATTCCAATGGTGTAATGAAGTTAATCCCATGGATGAGCCACACAGGCACAGCAAATTTCTTTATGAATCTTAGTATAGTAGGAGAGGTGATAATAGCATGGAACATTTTTTAGGCCAGACACATTTTAAGATCTTATTATCAAATAAAAAATCAATTCCCTTTGTAAACTTGCTAAAAAAAACTGTAGTTTTAAATTTTATAGGCATATTGCTTTATATAGTCACTTCAGTAAACAAATTACTACCGAAGTTATAAGTTAGGAAATGAACAAAATAATATTGTACTGAACCCAACAGGAGACCTTAGGCCTTTAATTTTACTTGGACATTTGTGGTGATGAGAACCCATTTCTTCTCAAGGTTCTATTTAGATTACTAGAGAACTTGAAGTTTGACAAGTACTGCTAGTTTCTATTTCTCCTCTTACTCTTTTTTTTTTTTTTTTGGGTCCGGTCATGGGGCCTGAACTCTGGGCCTGGGCGCTGTCCCTCAGCTCTTCAGCTGAAAGCTAGCGCTCTACCACTTGAGCCACAGTTCTCCTTCTGGCTTTTTGGTGGCCAATTGGAGGTAAAC